CTTCCTAGTGCTGCAAACCAAGGATCATCTCTCCTACAAATAGAAACCAGGAAAAACTTCTTGTGATGTATAGTTACAAAAGTTCAAAGAAAGGCGATATGCAAAATCATATTTACAACAGGATGTTTCATATATAAGAAAAAGAAATGCTGAGAATGAAAAAGAATAAATTGTTTCAATTCTTACCTCTTAGGGTTAAAAAAAACTATTTTGAATAAATAAATGATTTTTCTTTCTTTCTTTTTCCTTTTAGGAACATAATTGAATTAATAGTTGGCTCTTTCTAAAATATGAACATTACATTGAGTAGTCTTAGATCAACAACTGAATATACACAAGTTGCTAACCCAAAAATTGGGTCTAATTATAAAATGCCTATTGAAATAATACCTATTTTTGACGACCAGTGACACAAATAGCGAAATAGCCTAACAATTTCATCATGAAAAGACTATCCAGCATCCATAACAAATGGAGAAGGTGACATTTCCACAGCACAAACCATAACAGGAAAATTAGCAAACCTTTGCAAGTATTGATGCGTTAATTCCCCACTGGTGATGGCTCCTTCAAAGAAAGAGGGATCAAATCCAAGGCTCTTCATTTTGGTCATTGTTGTTGATGCACATCTTGGTGAATTACTAATAATCACCATCTTGGTGCCATTGGTTGCCAATTTTTCTACCGTCAAGCAGAGAAAAAAATTATTTCTCTTAAGAATAAAAATCATTAGCATATCACCATCAGAAAAAGCAAACACTTCTTTCCACTGAAAAGCTTACCAAAATGGTAAAACTCACAGATGGGAACATGCATGTTGAAATTGCACCAGGATAAGGTTGTTTGCCATTGTGAAGGACTCCAAATTGATCTAAGAACCAGGCCTGCGCATACAACAGAACAACCAACTAAATGAATGCCAGTAAATGAAAATGCACATGCTAAAAACCATAATATGAGGCATGATACAAAAGCATAGATTCGCCAAACAATAACCTACATTATGAGAAAGACAGTCCAAGATTCTTGTTTAATGGGGGCAATCCTATAAATAAAGTAAAATTTTTGCGAGATAAAAGCAAGATTTTGCTTAAATACTAGGCAATTCGTTAAGCATTTTCTTTTTGGGATGTTCCAGTAAGGATAGTTGCCCGTCCCTTTGAGTCAATTTTGTACTTAGACTAAAAATTTTCAATTTCATTGATAAAAGGCCTTTCTTTAGTGCAATGACAAAAGATCAAAATTTCACCAGCTAACAAAAAAAATTGGGTTTCTGGTTCAGGCAAAATTATTTGTGCTCAAAATTGAACATTTCAATAGTTAAAAAACATTCAATGGACAAATATATGGGAAGAAATCACAAACCAGAATGCAGATTTGAGAAACAACAATTGGGGGTAGGTACCTTGAAACGACAGGTTTCGGCCAGTTGTTCAAGATCAGTGAGAGTTTGGAAGAGCTGAACTTCGCCGGGAGGGGCTGTGGCGCATTTCACCATCATTATCTGCCCTTTTCTCTGCTTCTGCTTCACTCTTTTCTGAAAATTTATTTCACTTTCCAGGTTTTTATTTCT